ATAGCTGTGAAATATTTAGAAGATAAATCGATATGACGTTTCTTCGATAAACTTCCAGATATCGTTCAGAAAATGAATGATCGAGTCAACAGAGGCATTGGGATGGAACATTCAGAGTATTAGGTCTTAAGTCTATCATGTTTTAAGTTTGATAGCTAAAAACTTCTAATTTTTCTCAAATCAACCCTATATTCCAGCTAAATGACTAAATCTGTTTTGCATCAATGCACAATGCATCAATCAATGCAGTTAAACGAGAAGCCACAACAACAGCTAAAATTAACTTGGTTAAGGAGTTCTTCATATAATAAAGAAAAACTATCATTTCTGAAAAAGCAACCTAAAGAACCCTTCGGTCAAAAAAACAAAAGCTCGACACTTTTGATAGCCCTGAAGTAACGTTAAAATTTGTTGAACACCGATCGGAACACTCATTTAGATTTGCAGAGTTTTCAGCTATATTTTGAATCAACAATAAAAAATGACGATAAGAATTTGGCAGTTAAGGGAACAACGGGAAATATTGCTGCTATATCAAAAGTAGCTTATACCAACAACATATTACATTCACTTTTCTTCAATTGCAAATATTGAAAAATTAGGTTGTCCCAAACTGAGGGTTGCGTAAAATCAAACTTACATTTCAAGATTATTCTTTTTAAACAGATCTTTTTCCATTTGATAACAACAATATTAACCAAAATCAACGTGAGGACTGTGAATTAGAGAAAACTTACAGAAAACTAGCCGTTGTTTTCTTTGCTATAGATCCGTTATCGATCCCCAATGGTAATTTAAGATACGACTTACTTTTGCAAAATTATATTTTGTGTTGGCAACTCAAGTAGCCAATCCACAATTCTCAGTTCTAATCAGACAAGGTTCAATTTCTGCAGGTTATTATGCAGTGTCTGAATCGCTACACACCTCAATTCAAGGAGAATTATTTAAATGGCCTGCCAGATACAATCATAATGAAGTTTAAACATTCCTCGCATCTACTCAACAGTGCAATCAAAAATTGTACTTTCTTGAAATTGTTGGGGCACCTTGTCGATTTAGTCTTCAATTCTCGGAAATTTTGAATACCGTATTGAAGTGTTAGTGATAGGGGAGCGACTATCTACAATCTCATTGGATCAAAACGGAAAAGTTTTGAAACATGGATGTTTTTTTTCCAAAATATCTATGATAAAATTCTCTAATTAAGTTTCAAGTATAATGATTTTTTTCTGCTAACGATTCCCAATGCTACATGACAATACCTTTCAAATTATAAACACAAGCCAACGTACTTCAGCTGACATTGGATTATGATTGCGAAAAAAAAAATTTTATGCTTAAACCTGTCAAAATCCAATTGGGACGTATCCACTTTTTCAGTCTCAGTTGAAAAGATCCTGTCTATTAGCCATGAATTACTAAGTTACCCAACAGAATCCAGATTCTTATGTAATTTTTTATTTATTAGACCTTAAAACACTTGATGACTCAAATCTGAGTGTCTTAGATCTTAAACTTTGATGAATTGTAATTTGAAGATTTTTGAAAGGAACAAAATGATAATTATTTTGAATTTTCCGTTCAAAGTAAGTTTCCTACAAAACAAATTGGAGTTTTTGGTAATGTTTAGAGTTAAATTTACAGTTCTAACAATTATGCAAGGTATAAATGCTCCTTGTTAGTCACATATTTTTTTTGAAGACTCTGAAAGTTATTCTTGATGAGTTTTCTGTACCACAGTTTTCCCAAAATTTTGAATCAACAGTAAGTACTGAACTCAATGCTTTGTTTTTGACACGCTGCAAGTTTGCAAAAGAGGGCATTACTTAAGATTTAGTATCGCCAACAAAGCCATATTCCACAATGTTTGACTACACCAAAAATTGCATGACTTTTTTAATATCAGATGGATAAAATGGTTCAAGTTAATCCCGGAAAAAATACCGCGCCCCATATACTAAGCCTAGTTTTTGACATAATTTAGACGATTCTGTTGAAAAACCCACTAGTAATTTTTTGTTTTGCGTAGATAATACTATGTTGGTTTTTCCGGTTGTCTCGTTAAGTTTTGTAATAAAAAATGTCTTTGAGTGATAGTTTTCTAATTACAATGTTAACTGCATTAACAATACTTTCAACAATAGGATAATTATCTTCATTGATGCGGTATTTATTTTAAGACTTTCGTGTTATTTGCCTACAGATTTTCGAAATTTTTAAAACATTTTGAAAACTTAGAGTGTAGCAGATTTCGGTGAGAGCAACTTCCCGTTGCCCCGTCAAACTTATTTCTTCTGAAAAAAAATCGGAAGAGAAAGGATAACATGTTATCTTGATAACAGTTAGAACTCGCGTTTGATAATAGATCAATGAAAAAGACATTCTGTGATAACAACTGATTGGTAGGAAAAAGTTGAAAAAATTGATATTTTAATCAGCTATTTTCATTTTCATTAAAATACCCCCTCGTTTGTTCAAAGCTTTAACCTTAGCTGGGAACATGTGAACGCATAAGTTATTGAACAAAAAATTCAATAATTTTTTTTGCGCAGAGGCACCTGAGAGTATATGGTTTTGATTTCTTGTGAAATCGGATAGCATACATCAAATCGGAACAAAGAGTACACCATGATGACAAAGTACGAATTTTGTCATCTAAGTTCATCAAATGAACACTTTCTTCGTCATTGTTTGGTTGTTTGTAAAACTCGAAAACTAAAAACAATAAAACCAATGAATTAAATGTTAAAACTTTTTTTTGTCTCGATGATCATTATTTTTCGGACGTAAAATTCCCTCAAATTGTAAACATGAATACATTTTATAAAATTACAAGTTGAGTTAAAATCTTGGGAAAGATGAAGGCAGAATTGGTGATTCATAAATTTTATGTTCAAAATGCCTTGAAAAAAGAATAAAGATTTATTTTGTTTATTTTTTATAAAACAAAATCCCCCTGTTCTGTTTCCATAGAAAGACTGTATAAAACTACAAGTGGAATTTAGATCATGGGCGTGATCGAGCCAGAATAGGTAATTCATGAATTTTGAATTCAATGTTCTTTGGAAAGTAATAAGACAGTTCATTTCACAAAAAGTAAAAACAAAATAATGAAATAGTTATGTACCAATGAGTTAAAATAAAGTTATTCAGTTAAAATTAGAAAACACATTTTTTGGAGTTTCTCTGTACACTATTATTCTTGCATCTATTTTTTTGCTCTTTGGCATTTGGAATTCAAAATTATTTTCTTATCGTTAATACATTATTTAATCCATGTATTTCTTGAAATTAAAGTCCAAATATGTATTGAAACTATATTTTCAGGAGTGAAATTATTTTCTGAGCTTATTTATTTTTTGTTTAAATCTGCATTCAAAACAAAATATGATAAAACTGTAAAGATAATCAAATTATGAAAAAAATACATCAAAATTCTCCATTTTAAAATATGGCGAGGAAAGAGAAAACTGCATTCTAGGCTAATAAGTTCCAATAAAATGTAATCACCTATAAACTTAAATTGCCTTTACCTTAAACCAAAAGCGTTTTGTAAGTTAAAGCATAGATCTAATTCTTCTTCAGAAAAAATAACCATCGCGTAAATGAATAAAACCCACGAACACATTTGAGGAATCAACTTTTAGGGACTCTGAGGGTTAATATCTCAGAGTGAGAGCATGTTTTTACTAATTGTTATAATTGGACTTGGGTTTGGTTATCTGGGTTTGGTTTCTCTAATGCGATGAAATTGGGAAACTGTCCTCAAACTTATGGAGCTCGATCTCACAAACGGAAAGGTGAAATAAGGTTTGGTGATTGCCAGTTAACCCAATGTTGAAAAAGTAGAAAAATCTCCTGGAACAATTTGCTCACTTAGTTTGGAAATGAGTGATAAAATTACACTCTTACTGTTTTGAATATTTCCTTTGAATTTAAAACAAAATAAGACGTTTTTAATTTTGTTTATCGTTTCCTGTTTGTCTGCTCGCAGTCTTATTGCCCTAATGTTTCAAAACTGGCAATACTGAAAAATAAAGCTGAGCTTTTTTTTGCGGTCCATAATAATTTATTACTAAGGGAACCTATACACTCTCAACTGTACAGTTAAATCTCTCATTAACGAGGAGTCTTAATTTACTGGTTATGTTTTTTGTAAAATTTTATATGTTTCCTTTCATGCTAACCACGTCCAGCAATCTTCTCGAGCTTCATCGATATTTGAAGAATCTTCAAAAAAATTGGAGACATTTTTTTTGATATCGGCAAGGGTTTGTCAAGAATCTTGCACACTGGTAAGTATCGTGAAAATCCAGGTAGGAAAATGGAGTAATTTTTTGGACAAAAAACCAAAGATTTCAATAATTTTAGTTAAGATCTTGTTTTCAATTGAGGGGGTGGCGAGCACTTAAGAAACAAGTGATTAAAAATGTTTAATCTGATCATTTAAAATTTATGAGCTATAAAATGAAGTATAGCGACCATACATTGACTAACAATCATCATCGTTAGTACAAACTATTCAATATAAATTTTGACTAGAAAATTTTAAATTTTTGCTGGTGATTTTTTGAAAGAGGCATTATTAAAATATAAATCAAGCATTGTCACCATGAGCTAATAAAAACCACCAGTACAAAGTTCATTTTTTGACACCTTTTTTTAAAATTAATAATCAGTTTTCATTCGAAAGCAATTTGGGGCAGTCAGTTTAGTTATTTGCGAAATTATTGAATCTCAAGACTTCAAAATTAAAATGATGGATTGCGACCACGAATGAAATAAAACTAATCAACACTATTTCATTTTTGCTGGAGTATGTGCAAATATTTCTGATAGTTAACTGTTCTGAAGCTGTTTGATGCAATATATTGAGGTATTAACAAAGCAATTGAGTCTTCTGACATGATCAACAAAACAAAAGAACATAGATTTTCACCATGAATTGAGCAAAAATCGGCAGTACACATTATATTATATACATAGCTTTTAAAATTTTGATTACAAATTTCGAAAAAGTTTTTTAAATTTAAAATTCTTGCCAAATTTTTGTAGACTTAGCTTCAGTTTTTGATAATGGCAACTCTACTAAGTTAATAGACCTTTCTATTTGAAACTCATTTGGGAACTGAAGAGCCATCATTAATGAAAAAGTTTATTATTTAAGCGCCGTACACATCTATTGTGATTTTTCCAGCTGCTTTTAATCCATCTGGCAGGGTAGCTTGCTGACCCTCAGAGTAAAGAAACGCGGGGGGTTGGTTTCTATCTGCCATTCCAGAAGCAACTATGTCCTCACGCAGCCACCACTTGGCCCAGGTGCAATGAATGGCGGCGTTCGCCATTTTTGGGGTCAAAGCTACGAACCAAGCTCGATCATCTAAAAAGTTGCAGTTTCAGTGTTTTATATATTTTTTCAAAAGTAGTTGAATCAATCATTTTTTCAATTTTGAAAACATTCAAAAAATATAGATCCCAGGCCCCTATGTTCTACTTATGTTTCCTCGAGCTGATGCTGTTTCGCAACTGAAAATCCCCAAAGAAACAAATTTTGATCGATCAAAAAGTCAAAACATAACCAATTTTAGTCAAGAGACTCTAAACAAAACTCAAGAGCAGTAAAAACGCCCTATACGTATCTCAAAAAATCCAATCAGTGCGAGAAGCGTTTTTCAAATCTTTGCTCAGCTTTGTGAGGAGCTGAATTAAATTTTGAGGAACTTTTTGAGGAACTGAATTAAATTTTGAGGAACTTTTTGAGGAGCTGAAGGGAAAACTGAGCAAAAGTAACTCTGCATAAATAAAATCTTCGTTGAATAGAAACGCTTATCAAAGATCATTTAAATTTTGCAGCCTTAAAGTTAAACAATTTCAGAAAGTTTTTCACTTTAGTGAGGTCTTATTAACAAATAGGGAAGAGTAAGTTGACTCAAAATGGCAAAGAAGCTTTTCGATGATAGAACTTGGATAAAAAATTAAGTTTTTCATCTCATTGTGAAACTTGATTTATTTTGTTCCTATTTATTTATTTGAGACATTTTTGCGCCGATGTTTTTTAACACAGAGCTGAATTTGCACTCCAAATGTCACATGAATTTGAGGCAAAATATCTTACTAATGTAAAAAATTGAATATAGATAAATAAGAAAAACAAAAAAAGTGCAAGAAATCAAACCTGGGCAATCGCTTCACATCAAGTTCATCAAAAAGTCTACGGCAACTCTCACGCGTAATCTGATTGGTAGGCACATTTGATGCAGAATAAATAAATTGCTGTTGTACTTTTAAAAAATGCTAGTAAAGCTGACAAATTCTTAAAATTTGAGAATGTGAATACTGCTTGAAGGACACAGCTTGATTATCGTTTTTTTTGCGTTTGACAATCGAAGACCAGAGCGAGAGTAGCAGAGGTCAAACTATTATAATGTTTCATTGAACAGAAAAAAGTTTCCAAGGACTTCTCAAGGACCTTTTTCGGGTACCTCTCAAAAGTTACCATCCTCTCAACATTTTTCAACTCATAGTGAAAAATTGAATGGTGCTTAAATGACATACATGGGCATCCGGCATATGAATGAGACATATGGAAATATCTTTGAAGTCTGGTATCAGTTCCGTCTTGGTCAGCACTTGCACTTATTAACATCCAACTTCCACGTATTCCTTGAGGACCTCTTGAGCTAAAATTCCAGCCCATTGACATCTCCAGTCGTTCAAAACTGAACCAATTTTCTAGACCGTCATTGGGTTTGATTTGGAAAATGACTCGTTTAGCCACTTCCGACAAGTCATGTTTGAAAACAGAGAATCGTACATACTGGCTCTGTTTCATTTTGTCTGAAATTAACGGATGTCTGAAGGTTCTGTTTGTATAAACGATGGCGCCAGGAACAGCAGCAGACGTGTTACCATCTTTGAAGAAATTGTAGATGTGAATTCCTGAATATGCTTCGACTGAGAAGACATTTAGCCAGTTTCTTTCGTCATCTGACCACATGTTTTTCTGTCAATCGGAGAAGAAGTTAGAAAAATTTCATAGCGACACATGTATATGTTGAAATTACGGAACACCGAGTCCAAAACCTCGGACTATGGAAAATGCTGGACAACATGGATTTACTTCAACAGAAATAAGGTATTTGACGTATTTACGCTACTCTTTAAAAAGCAAAGGCCAAAACAAATCATGTGAAGCATTCCATGCAACACAGCGGCCTTTTGAGAAAGTATTCTTTCCTTGAACCATAGAAAAAAAGTGGCCTGAGATTTTTTCACTTTGAATCTACCAAAATCCGATATTCAAAACAGTTTTCGAAATAAATATTTCGAGCAACAAAACTGATGCAACCGTAAAACTGCAGTCTGCAAAAAAAGCCAAAAATTATTTTGATCTCAAATGAGATCCAAACAAACTACATAAAAGGTGTATTTAAAAAATAAAGTAGATATAAAGTTAAGGGGATATAGGATCTATATAAAGGCAGAGGTGACATATGATTACCCTAACCTCACTACTAAAAGTCGATTACTATCATCTCATCAAAACAATCCATGCTAAATCAAAGAAATTGAAGTCAAATCGTCTTACAAAACCATAAGGACTAACTAAAACAAATTAGAGTCGTACACGAATCTTCGCTTGACAGCTTATGATTTTCTCTGGAACTAAAAATCTAAAACAGGGTGGAATATAAAAATTACAAAAAGCTACTTAGTAACATGCAATCGTAAAACATCAGTCTCCAAAAACGAAAAAAAAACAATTTAGATCTTAAATGAGATCCAAACAAACTACATATAAGGTATAGTTAAAAAACAAAGTAGATTTTAAAGTTAAGGGGATATGGGATCTATATTAAGGCAGAGGTGAGACATGATTACCCTAACCTCACTACTAAAAGTCGATTTTTGTCATCTCATTAAAACAATCCATGCTAAATCTAAGAAATTGAAGTCAAATCGTATTTCAAAACCCAAAGGACAAACTAAAACAAATTAGAGTCGTACACGAAGCCTCGCTTGACAGCTAATGATTTTCTCTGGAACCAAAAAACCTAAAACAGGGTATTTAAAAATTACAAAGAGCTACTTAGTATTTTTATACGATTCAGATCAAACTAATTTCAACCACATTACGGCTGCTTCAGTTCATGATATTGATACAATGAGTATCAGGCAATATTTACAGAAGGCTCGGTTTTTTAATTTAAAATTGTTTCAAAGAATTAATTTTTTCCCAACTATCTGTTTTAACCGACATATGAAGTGTGCACAAGATGGCAAAATAAATTTGTCCTCAAAATTAAACTGAAAATGAACCAGCCTGAAAGTCGTTCAAACTTACTTCAATTGTGTCCACTTTGCCGGAAAGATTAGTCAACAAGCTTTCAAGGTTATCTTGACTTTTTGCGAGGTCATCCAGGGTTTCTGTTTGTTGAGCATTGTGCTTGTTTATGTCGTTCAAACTTACTTCAATTTTGTCCACTTTTCCGGAAAGATTAGTCAACAAGCTTTCAAGGTTATCTTGATTTTTTGCGATGTCTTCCAGGGTTTCTGTTTGTTGAGCATTGTGCTTGTTTATTTCATTTGACAATGAAACTGTCAAAACAATTGATACAGCCATCAATATCTAAATATTTAAGCTAATTTAATCCATTTAACTACAGAGTTCGATGCTTATATTGTTATTCACTGAATTTGGTTTGCAATTCGAATTATTGAAATTTGTGCTGTTTTTGTGAAATTGACTATCGGTTCATGATTGACTAGAAGAAGAAAAACGAATGACACATTGGAAGAAACTTTTTGTGCTAGATTCTTTAGAAGCAAAATTTTTGAAAAAAAGCAGTTTCATCGGACACATTTGTTTTTAAAACTTATAAAAAGTATCTGATCAATGTGCTGGTTTATTTCAGCAATTACTGAAATTAAGGCATTAAAATTCTCTTCCGCCCATAGAGCTTGAATTTTGTCTTTCAAAACTAATTTTTCGATTTACTTTTTGAAATTTTGAAATCTTGTTGTCCTGAATTTTTTGAATCTCTTTTTGTAAACACAAACTCAAACTGATAGCGCAAAAATTTAAGACGTTACTTTGCTGCATGCCTTATTCATATACGGCTGATCCAACAGTAAACATTCAGACATAATTAATCATCTGTATCCATTTGTAGCGGCAATAGTACAAAGTTTTCTGTCACGCACCTGCTATATTAATAATCAAGGATAGCCGGTTCCTATTCCGACAATAGTCATAAAAACGTTAAAAAAAAAGATCAGAAAAAAATTTTGTTTTAAATTAGTCGTGTCTTTTATGTGTGGTGTACTGGTAGGATCTGAACGAAACAATTGAAAAAAGGCATATACGATAGTCATTGTCGAATTGGCCACTTGAAAAATAGCTTCTGTAGAAAGTTTACTGCAAAAACGAAAAAAAAAATATGTTAAAAAATTTAAGAAACTTTTTTTGAAATTTTGATGTTGTTGGTTTCAAAAACTGCGCTTAAAAATTACAAAAACTATATCTATTTGAGTGAAATTAGGTTTTCAGGGTTTATATTAGGCTTTTAGAAGCTATGGTAAGCATGCGAACTTTAATTTTGACAAACTTTTTTAGATTAGCTTGAGTTAGACTAAAAATCAAAAATTTCATACCAATTTTTCTCAACATTGAGATTTTTCAAAGCTTCTACTGTCGTTCGAATCACGAATGGAAAGTAATATATAACTAGACTCATTCCGATGATTATTTGTGTTACCTGATTTTGCGTGGAACAAAAAAAATGTAGTTATCAAATTCAATCAAATCCAATCAAAGCTCGTGTTTTCTTGTTATGTTTTTTTAAAAACTAGCCAAAAGTTTCTTGCAAAAACTTTTGTCACGCTTATTTTTTTTTACTTTGGAGCTGTTGTGGACTAAGATCAATTATAGAAAGAAATAGAGAACGGGTCCTCATAAAATTGGGTAGCTGCTGTCATATGGGACTTTTCTCAAAACAAAAAACAATCATAACAAAATGCGGCAACTTTCACAAAATTATATTAAATTGGCATTTCTTTTGGATTACGTAAATACTGCTTCGGCTGAAGCAGTAACCAGAGCTGCTTTTCATGTTTCATGTGGCCGTTTACGCTCAGCCATTAAAAAGATGTTGAACTAAGAATGTAAACTTGTTGCCAGGTTATCATCGTATAGTAATATTACGAAGCCAAACTGTGTATTTTGTGAATTGTAAGCGGATTCAACAACAAACAAGCTCTCTTTGTTTTTCTTCTCTTTTGTTTTCTTTGATTGTTGCGACAAAATTTAAACTTGTTTAAAGGCTTGTCTTGGGATTCCAGAGACACACACAAACACCAAAACTGTGCAATGATAGAGTACTGGTACTACTTAAATGAGTACTGGTATTACTAAGCTGAGTATTGGTACTACTTATATGTGGTATGAGTACTAATACTACTAATCTATTTTTCGAAGCAAATTCAGTTAAAAAAATCTTACTGCCAGTAGAAGAACAGCAATCAATAGTACGCTTCCCATTGCAAGGAAACATGTCCTTGACCAATTGTTAAGCTCTTTTCCCGCTGTTTCACCGCTCATGGTTACTTTTTCTGGCTCCGCGTAGGTTTGATGCACAGAATCATGAATTGGGTTTTCCTGATGCTGCGTTTCGATAGGAATCTCTGCGTAGTCTGTTTCGTTTCCGTGCCTGCTTTGTTTTCGAGCATCAAAGTATTTGTCGTTTTTTTGGCTTAATTTGTTTCCTTGAAGTTCAAAAGTTACTTCATCCGGCGATAATTTCAAGTCTTCCATTTTTTTTTTAAATGTCCCTTTTTTATAGTTGTTGCGTGTGTAGTCAATAATTTTTTGATAAATTAATTCAATTTTTGTTCAAGTAACCTTTTTATACTGTTACGACACGGTAATAAAAAGTTGCAATTATCTGATAAAACTAAGATCGTTTGCTGCGATTCGGAACATCATATAACACCAAAGATTTCTCTAAAGACTATTTTTATTTGAAAGAAAAAAGCACGCTATTTGAAGTCTGAGAAGAGCAGAACATCAGAATCCATTTATTATTTTGTGCATTCAAACTTAATGTTACACCTTTTGAGATTTGTTGTAAAATCAGAGCCATTTGTCCTCTCAGTTATGCGTAGTCATTGATTAAAAAAGAAGTTTTTATAAAACATGTTTTAGGACATGTACAGCTTTAAGATAAAATATTTTAACAAAATGCTAGAAAATTCAAATGATTCAGTTTATTTACTCGCCTTGATTTTTTACTCGCGCGACTAAACGAAGAAAAAACGTGATTATTCTAACGAAGAAAAAACGAGATTATTCTAACGAAGAAAAAACGTGAAAAAACGTGATGTGCAAACATACTTTTAAGAGTCTTGACATACCTTCTGAGATCTCTGGTAAAATCAGAGCCATTTTGTTCTCTTAGTTATGCGTAGTCATTGATTGAAAAAGAAGCTTTCTATAAAAAGCTGTATTTTTTCGTCATGTACATCTTTAAGATTAAATAATTGAATAAAAGTCTAGAAAGTTCTAGTAATTTACTTTATTTGCTCGCCTTGATTTTTTCACACATTTTGACGAAGAAAAAACGTGATTATTCTGTGCGAACATATTTCTAAGAGTCTTGACAAGTCACATGAAACAAGTTTCCCGGGTTGAACTCCATACACCGAAAAAGCTGATCATACAATTCCATACATCAAGTGTGTGGGAAACTGCTTGTCATACAATTTTCTTACAAATTCGAAAAATGGGTGAAAAAAGATATAAACTAATTACTGCGGCTGTTTGATTCTAATAAAACAATCTGGTGATAAAAATCGAGAAAACACTGCTGATGAAAAAACTGCTCATCTATCAATTCCCATATATGGAAATTGTTTGACTGGCGTTTTTTTGATGTCGGTACAAAATTTTTTTCTAGTAATTTTGAAAAAATGCCCCGAAATTTTTTTTAAACCGCAAATCGAACTTAACATGCAAACAAACATGTTCCGAAAAAAATGTTTTGTATGCAAAATTTATTTTTTTTGTGTGCATAACGTAGTCCTGGATACACTAATGTTAGGATTTTCTTCCTTTTCGCTTTATAATTTTTTTTCAAAAATGCTGAAAAGTCCTTTTTTTTGTATGGCATGGTTATGTATGCCTTGATCAATGTCTGATAATTTCAAATTCAAATTTTTAAAATACACGTCGATGAAAAATTTCGCCAAATTGTAAAAGTTTGTTATTTTTATTGTACAATTTATGAAAGACTACGAAGGCAATTCAGGTCGTTTTTCAAGCATTGTAAATGCATTAGAACGTCCAAACTTTGGTGTTTTGAGTAACCCAATGTATTTCCACTTGTGTTTGGTACAAACATGACCAAAATTTTCAAAAATTAAAAGTAGAAACAAAAATCAACTAACAAAAAATTGTTAGAAACAAAAAATTACTAACAAATGTTTTGTAAAGTCAGCGTTTTGATTTTATAAAACAAATATCTCTCCTTTCTTCAAAAATATATAATTCTTAGGCTGGTTAAAATCAAAAACAGTAAATTTTAGTAAGGTTGATCTGTCAGCAGCGACGGGCGCGGTAGTTATGCGGACAAAATGACTGAAACTTCACTGGAAAAAAAGCGTTTTACTCTTATTGTGTCAAGTTATAACAAAAAACGACAAAAGCAAAGCTTGCTTAGATTTTCCAAAAAATGGGATATTTTTTTTTGCAAAAATGGTACCTAAAGCTCAATCAGGAAAATTGATCATTTTTGACTTTGTAGTTCATCAAACACATGACTTACGCCGAAGCTACTTATGTCATAGCAAAACTTTGTCAAAGGTACCTTCTTATGGTAGTTCAACAAAACTTAAAAAGGGAACAATCTGGGAAACTTTATAAACATTTTTTTTTCGATTCAATGCCACGACGTTAATCTTTTTGAGCGATAGAGCTTTATTTTCTTAAAACTTTTTTAGAGTATATTCTGTATCTAATAATTGTCTTTGGGGTCCAGAGACAAACGTTTTCTTACTAAATGCTGAAGTGAATTCCAACTTGTCTCACTGACTTTAACAATCGGAGCATTTATAACAAAAAATGCATAGAGGTATGTCTAGTCGTATTTGAAGCCAGAACGGAAATAAATTTTTCCAACAGAGGTGACATAAAACAGTTGTGTTGTTTCCACCTTCAAACTGCTTCTCAAAACGATGTTCCTCCTTGTCTATCGAATAGCAGCCCCAATGTGGTATAACTTTAAAGTTTCCACTGCCCATTTATAGTTTCCACTAGCCAAAATAATCATAATCGTCTAAAAAGTTTGCATGTTTGATAAGAAAAAAATCAACAAAAAATAGACATATTTTAGATTAAAAAGAATAAATTCAATGCATATTTAAACCACTGTCTTGTATTTTTTTAAACTAAAATTCGAACGATCTACGATGAAATTGACAAGAGGATAAAAATATACCATTTTGATGTTGTTCTCCACCGCTGTGGGTCAGCGCAGACGTAATTTGACCTTATCCATTTTGAAGACCACGTTGATATGAGAAGGTCAATAACAAATATTTTTTACTATCTAAACGAATCAATTTTTGCAATCCAGGTAAAATTTTGACTGATTTAAAAGCCAGTGGTAAAATTTGGTATCATCGAGTCAGTGGTATAGATTTTTTTTAAACTTTGATGGAATTTTTTCATTTTCAAAAGAACTGCTAGATAGATTTTAAAAATATTTAGATTTCGATTCGCTAAGAGTGTTTCTTTTTGAAATTTTTTGACCAAAAGCAATGACGCTCGAATTTTTATCTGAACACTTTTCATCAGTTATGAATGTGGATTTTGTCATCAGCCTGAAAGGCGTTTCCTTGGGTTGCGTTAGTAACCCCGAATTTACAGAAGAACTAAATGTAAGTACCTTGTCTTATAATGATAATCAAAATTATGAAGAGCAAACAGAGAAACATTGAAATGATGCAAAAAATTAGATGATATCTCGCTGGATAGCAGTAGTGCCCAGTAGGGTTATACGTTTGGTAAACTTCGACGCAAGTGAAAACGATTGTTTGTAATTTGGTCTGAAGTTCGGACGTGTAAATGCATGACGCAAATACACAGGGAGCATGGAAAGTATGCCTACTATCATATGCAGTTTTTATTTTCAGGACAAAAATATCGTCTACCGAGCACGTAAGCATCTGAAAAAAGGAGAAGCACCAAAACAATTGTCATAACTATCTAATTGAACGTTAAACATCAAGCAAAATGATGTAGACTTTGAAAGCAGAAAGAAAAATGGACTTGGTCACCAGCGCGCGCAACAGCTTTTTGCAATTACAATTTCGCGAACAGTCAAAAACGAACGGAATTAAGCTTGTGCAAGAACACGATATCAGGAGTTGGCTCAGTTAGAAGCAGTCAAAGGAGCAAAACTCTCAAGCAGAGCTGTACACGCTGAGGCGCAAAAGAGACCGCCAAATATAAAAAACGATAAGTGGAAGAAATCGACTCTGATAACTATAACAATTTTCTTTTCGTAGTCATAGTACTAAGCAAGTGAAAAAAAATCTGTTACATTCGTCTCATTTCCGCTTAGAGTCGAAGTACTCCATCCCAAATTTTGGTCAAACTTTTACCGTAAGGCCAAGGTCTCAAGTAAATTAAGTTCAAGTTTATTTGTTTTTTCTTCCTCAAAACATTTTGAATGATAGCAAAAATTGATTCGGCGACTTCCGCGGAGAAGTTAGTTAAGAAAGACAATCGGGAAGGAAGTCGGGAAAAAAGTAGCTGAACTTTATATAAAATTTGGTTAAAAAAAATTCATTTACTACCTAAAAAATTTTTAAAAATTTTGCAGGACCCTTAGAAAGGCGCCAAACTGCTCTCTAAATAATTTTCTAAGCCGTGATTTGTTCTTAAGGTAAAGTTTTTCTCAAGTTCATTAAAAAATTTAAAAAAATGCATCAATTTTCTTGCTAAGTTTTTAGTAACTTACACTAGTTTGTAATAATCAGTTGGAAAGACTTCACAGTAACTGTATAGTTTTTCTCAATTTACAAAACAAAACAGTTGAATAAAAAAATAAAAAGAGTTAAATGAAAACTGAAAAATTTAGATAACTGAATTGCATGATGTTTTTGAACTGCTCAAGCAGCCTCAAGCGGAAAAAAGTAGAAGAAAAATTGAACTTGGACACTGAAAAAAACCTGACTGACAATTTTCTGTTATTTTGCAAAACACAAGATCCCTATCGCTATCAATTGATAAGTTACAAGTCTTCCTGGAACGGTTGGATAATCAACCAACAATAATTTGTCTCACTTTTTTGTGTTTATCCTAAAAAAACGTCAACAATGAATTTTTTATATGCCTGCCATGAATTTGAAGGCTGTTTTCATTCCTAAACCAAAAATTCACAAAAATAATAACATAAACTGAAAAAAAAACAGCAAGGACAATTCGATTCAAATTATATCAAACGAAAAGCAAACGAAAGAAAAGTGTCACAGTCAATTTTTAAACAAAATGAAAAGTATCTTGACAAATCGTTGGCCATGAAACGAACTTGTTGTTTGCATTCATTTATAAAGAAACTTCCACAAAAACAAAACCTAATTTGACAGTAATAGGAAAAGAGTTAACATCTTTTTAGAAACAAAAAAAGCTTATAATTGAAATTGAAACTTAAAAGTTAAAAACTGTTAGGAGTAAAAAAAATGATTTGTCTGACCTTTAATGCTTTAAGCTCTGAACAATTTTTTTTCAAGAAGTAGAATAAATTGAAAATACAACAAGCCAAGGCAAATAAAGCGAAAAAGATACTAGCAAGAAGCTCATACCTTTTTTCATGGCGAAAATCAAAAAATAATTGGAAAAAGTTCAAAAAAAACCATCCTGAGATTGATACATTTGATAACTGTAGACAAGGCATTATCCTAGTTACATTTCTTTTCATACTAACAAGCGACTAACAAGATTTTTTTTGTAGTTTTACTAGTTTGATTCAAATCTCGAGTCGAAAGCAAATGAAATGAAACCCTTAAAAATTCATCTGAAGAGATGATAGAGATCTTTAACCTCTAAGAATTAACTACCACTCAGGTTGCTTTAAAATCAATAATTTTTTTAACACCGGAAAAATTTACTTGATAATTCACTTGAAATAGCTTACGAAGGAGGCACAACAAAGGCCGAAGTATTTTATTTTTGCCAGTTATCCGGACCGTTTTTGAACGGCTGCTAAGCAATCGGTTGAAATATTGTG